ACACACACACACACACACACATATATATATATATATATATATATATATATATATATATATATATATATATATATATATATATATATATATATATATAATATATATATATATATATAACAAACACTGATCTCTGGCTGAAGGAGACTCGAACCTTCGAACCTACGAACCTTGGAACAAGGTACGCAGTGCTATACCATTCTCACCATCACTGGACCAATACCTTGGCGTCCAGTGTGGTGAGAATGGTATAGCACTGCGTACCTTGTTCCAAGGTTCGTAGGTTCGAGTCTCCTTCAGCCAGAGATCAGTGTTTGTATATATATATATATATATATATATATATATATATATATATTATATATATATCGGTGCTTCATTTAATGTGCCTGTGTTTGTTAATGTGATTGTGAGCCTGTCTTTAGGGTCACCAAGGGCTGCATTTAAATGTGGAGAGTGGGGGCATTTGCCCACGGGCCTCCACCACTGAAGTTGAGAGTGTGTGTCTGTGTGTGTGTCGAGTGTGCCTTGCGTAGAATGAAGTTAATAATGATGCAGAGATTGTGTAAGTTATCACTCCTTGAAATGGAGTGGGCGTGGCAGCTGAGTTCTAAAGCTCTAAAGCTGAGTTCTAAAGTGAGTCTAAAGCAGTGTGGACGTGTGTGTGTTACCCAGCAGGAGGGGACGAGGGGCGTGGTGTGGGCGTGGTGTGGGCGCGGGCGGGGCTGGACAGGGAGGAGCGCCGTTCCCTGTTAGTACCGTTGTTAGTGGCAGACGCTGGATGGCCGCCGCTCACCACCACAGCAACTCTCACTGTTCACGTCGCTGACCTCAACGACAACCCCATGACACCCGCTTCCAAGACTGTCATTGTCCACACTCTCCAGGTCAGTCACTGTCCACACTTTCCAGGTCAGTCACTGTCCACACTCTCCAGGTCAGTCACTGTTTACGCCCTCTAAGTCACCTACTTTCACAGCTTCTAGGTCAGTCGCTGTGTACAGTACACTCACCAGGTCACCTATTCTTCACAACCTCCAGGTCAGTCACCATGTACACTCACCAGGTCACCTATCTCACAACCTCCAGGTCAGTCACCATGTACACTCACCAGGTCACCTACTCTTCACGTCATCAGGTACTCTGCCAGGTTCATATAACCCACAGTCACCTTCTTAAAGAATCCCTGGTAAACTAAGTTATAATCCACAGATCCACTAATCCAACTTTTCTTAAGTTTCCACCGTTATTCATCGTGATGCATTACTTCGTTTATGGCCTCTCTCTCTTTTCTTCTTTTTCTTTTAGTATTTTCCCCTCATACTTAAAGGTCACTGTCATCAAAAATTTTCTCGAAACTTTTCACTATTTTTTCCTAAAGAAAAAGAGAGAGAGAGAGAATTTATATGTATTTGATATTTTTCATGTTCTGTTGTAATTATAATAATAATTTCCCCTCATATTAAATTTTTTCCCTGATTTGTCTGTCCTTGTTTAAAAAAAAATGTAACGCTCCATGAATTTAAAATCTGAAAATATTAGACTGAGCTATTACATAATTTTGCTGTAAATAGCGGTAAATGGAAGCTTCTTCCAGTACTATTTTAAAATTATACTTGCACATACGTAAGCGTTAACACACACACACACTACACACACACACACACACTACACACACACTACACACACACTACACACACACTACACACACACTACACACACACTACACACACTACACACACATCACACACTACACACACACTACACACACACTACACACACACTAACACAATACCACACCTACACACACACACACATTACACACACACTACACACACACACACACGCACACCAGGAGCTCGGACTCGACCCCCGCAACCTCAACTAGGTGAGTACTAGGTGAGTACACACGCACACACACACACACACACACTTATTCTTGGACTGCAAGAAGGCGTTTGACACAGTTCCACACAAGAGATTGGTGCAAAAACTGGAGGACCAAGCAGGGATAACATGGGAAGGCACTACAATGGATCAGGGAATACTTGTCAGCAAGACAGCAGCGAGTAATGGTACGTGGCGAGGTGTCAGAGTGGACGCCTGTGACCAGCGGGGTCCCACAGGGGTAAGTCCTATGACCAGTGCTGTTTCTGGTATTTGTGAACGACATGACGGAAGGAATCGACTCTGAGGTGTCCCTGTTTGCAGATGACGTGAAGTTGATGAGAAGAATTCACTCGATCGAAAACCAGGCAGAACTACAAAAGGATCTGGACAGGCTGCAGACCTGGTCCAGCAATTGGCTCCTGGAGCTCAATCCCACCAAGTGCAAAGTCATGAAGATTGGGGAAGGGCAAAGAAGACCGCAGATGGAGTACAGTCTAGGGGACCAGAGACTACAAACCTCACTCAAGGAAAAAGATCTTGAGGTGAGTATAACACCAGGCACATCTCCTGAAGCGCACATCAACCAAATAACGGCTGCAGCATATGGGCGCCTAGCAAACCTCAGAACAGCATTCCAACACCTTAATAAGGAATCGTTCAGGGCCCTGTACACCGTGTACGTTAGGCCCATATTGGAGTATGCGGCACCAGTTTGGAACCCACACCTAGCCAAGCACGTAAAGAAACTAGAGAAAGTGCAAAGGTTTGCAACAAGACTAGTCCCAGAGTTAAGAGGTATGTCCTACGAGGAGAGGTTAAGGGAAATCAACCTGACGACACTGGAGGACAGGAGAGATAGGGGGGACATGATAACGACATACAAAATACTGAGAGGAATTGACAAGGTGGACAAAGACAGGATGTTCCAGAGATGGGACACAGTAACAAGGGGACATAGTTGGAAGTTGAAGACACAGAGAATCACAGGGATGTTAGGAAGTATTTCTTCAGCCACAGAGTAGTCAGTAAGTGGAACAGTTTGGGAAGCGATGTAGTGGAGGCAGGATCCATACATAGCTTTAAGCAGAGGTATGCTAAAGCTCACGGTTCAGGGAGAGTGACCTAGTAGCGATCAGTGAAGAGGCGGGGCCAGGAGCTCGGACTCGACCCCTGCAACCTCAACTAGGTGAGTACACACACACACACATGCATTATCAGAGTAGATATGGTAGGTAATCATTTTTTCACTGTGTATGTACTCCATTTCGATGCTTTTAGCTTGCAGGTTTCGAGTCACAGCTCTTGGCCCCGCCAGCTAAGCTTCGTACTTACCGATCTTTGTTTGCGTGGGCTGAGTCTTGGCTTCCGGCTCAGCCTCTTTATGATTTATCGGCTGTTTTTTATATTGGTTTTTGCTCTCCTGGTATACTTGTTCTTCAGTCTGTGTGTGGAATTTGCCACCACCCCTTCCACATACAGTGTGAGACTATCAATATTTTAAGCTTTCATCTATGCTCCCAAGTGTCTGCTCCTCACATTTTAAATAATTAATCAATGTCCATCATTTCAACTCCTCTTAGCATTTTGTATGCTTTAACTGTCTCTCTTTTAGTCTTCTTCTCTTTTAGAGTTGTTAGCCTCACTTCCTCACAGTGCACACCCATCTACTCTGAACTGTTCTGGTTACAAATCTTTGGATATAACTTTGAACATGTATAAATGTTGGTAGAATTACCGACAATGTGTTAAGTAAAAGGACACAAGTGCACTCCTGTCGTTTTACTTAACTTTGAACATCATCTGCAAACACGCACATGGATTCGATCCAACCTGGCAGGTAATTTACCTACATCAAGAACATTAGCGTCCCAATTATTGATCTTGGAAATTTCACTTGTTACCCTTTATCTTCCTAACATTTCCTCCAGAACTAAAACTATGCATGTGCCTATATATTTACCCCAGCCACAGGGAAGGTGGGTTGAGGGCTGGAGTTGCAAGTTAATCCTCTCCCCGTTCACAGGAAGCGATGCCTTTGGAAAAGGTGTCACTCTCACTCCCCAAGACACAGAGAGAGCCAGTGCCCGTGGGGAGGGTGTCACTCCCTCTTACCTCTCCTTCTCTCTCTTCCCAGCCACAGGGAAAACCTGTTCCTCTGGGAAGGGTGTACGTCAAGGACCCCGATGACTGGGACTCCGCCTCCAAGACCTACTCCTGGAGACAATATGTTGAGGGCTTCTTCCTAAACTCCTCCAACGGTGATCTCACCATGGCGCCCGACACCCCTGAAGGCCGGTAGGTGGATCTTTTCTTTAGTTATTCGAAGATGAACCTTTTCCTTTGATGTCGGTAGAAGAGCCTTTCCCTTAGTTACGGGTAGGTATTCGTGGATATACAAGTGCCGTAATAAAAAACGGTATGTTTCGCGCCGCCGGACCTAAGTTTCCCGTGTGCCATTTCGAAGGAAAAGGATACTTGTGTACTGTTTAGAAGAAATATATATATAAGGAAATGTTTGGCCATGAATGGCTTCGTAAGTGTTAAATACAGATTAAATTACAACCGGACATTACATAGATGCCTTTAATAACTGTCCTCAGCTGTACACAAGTGTCCTTTTTCACGGTTTGTCAGTGTCAACATACCATTTACAAGTTTATCATTTCTTTATTTTCTAATAATTATAACGTATGTATAAGCTAATTTGCCTAAACCTAACCTAATCTAATCTAAGGAAATCTCTCCTAGAATAACAAATATGTTCTTGCGAGGGTTGGACCGGACAGAAGCTAACGAAGGGGAAATGGAGATCAACTAATTACATAAAAAAAAGCACGGAACGGGTGGTGGTTGAACTCATTGATTCAAACCCCAACCATATAGTGGTTTGTTTGTAATCGTCTTATTACGATTTCGTGAGTCACGAAACTGCAAATTTATGTTGCCTAATAAGAGAGATGAGGTCTTGGCTTTTTTTTCCACAATAAAATACTTCTCAAAGACTCTACAAGGAATTTCGTATACCCAACCATTAATAATCTTAAGGTATTTTATGAGAGAATTTCTAAACGTGTATTTAATACTAAAAGCAACAATAATGATCCATGAGGAAGAAAACTATGTTTGGGCAACGTTTCGCTCTGTGTAGATTACTATATTCACGGAAACACGCTAAACCCATTAGGGATCACACAGCGCTTGGGAAATGGGAGGTAATCAGGTCTGATCTGAGGAAGGGAAGCGTACCACCAATTTCTTGCATCAAAAGTCCTTCACGGGCATCAAACAACCCTTCTTGAAGGGTCAATAAGCAGAGCTTTTTCAAGTCATAAGAAGGAAAACATTCACCACATACCTGTCAGTGGTACGTCCTTCAGCAGTGCTCAATTACTGCAGTACACGCAGGATATCAATAAAATTCTTATTTTATGCCAATATCAGTAAATCTGAAAGGTAAAAAAAAGGCTTATTAATGCTTAATGCTTTATTTTTTTTGTCTAATAAATTTATCATTATTCTTATTCCTATTTTTAACTCACTGTCTCCCCGAGGTACCGCGAGACCAAGTAAAAATAGAAGAAACGGGGTCATTATCATTCTTTTAACTGCCGCCTTGATAGAAGTGTGCTGACATTACAGTCCAGATGGACTGCCGAACTGAAACATCCCCATTCTTCCTTCAGAGTGCAAGCACTTTACTTCCTACCTCCAGGATTCAAGTCCTGCTAACTGGTTTCTCTGAAACCCATCATAATGTTACCTTGTTCACACTCCAGCAGCAAGTCAGGTTCCCTCACCCCCCCTCAAAAAAGAGAATACTTATCTTCACTCACTGTGATCTAATGCGTTTACAAAACCTGCCGGATGTATAAGCCCATAGCACTTAAAACCTTTATTACCCCCTTCACCCCCTTCCTCCAACATTTCTTAGAACAACCCTCAGCCCTCCTTCCTTCCCTCCTTCCACCCCAGATATATGTACCCTCCCAAGTCTTCCTATTTTTCATCCTCTCTAAATTTCCAAATCAACTCAACAATCCCTCCCTCCTCACCTATTGGAATTATGCTATTGGTAACCTCCAGGCCTTCTAATCTCCACACTCCGAATTATAATATATATATATATATATATATATATATATATATATATATATATATATAATATATATATATATATATATATATATATATATATATATGCAATAAGATCATAGTAAACAGGTGATTTCAGAATATGCAAAACAACCACTGTGAAAGAATAGAGAAATTCCAAGCGCTTTCGAGACTACTCACATTATCAAGGAACTATGATAGTTCCTTGATAATGTGAGTAGTCACGAAATCGCTTGGAATTTCTCTATTCTTTCACAGTGGTTGTTTTGCATATATATATATATATATATATATATATATATATATATATATATATATATATATATATATATATATATATATATATATATATATATAATATATATATATATATATATATATATATATATATATATTAATAAATAAAGTGCGACTGGCCGGGGATCGAACCGTTTTATTTTAGCCTGCCTCATGGGAAGCCAGTCAAAATCCACGACCGCTCTAACCACTGATATATCAGCGGTTAGTGGCTCAGTGGTTAGAGCATCGTGGATTTTGACTGGCTTCCCACGAGGCGGGATAAAATAACACGGGTTCGATCCCCGGCCATTCGCAGTTTGTCACTTGCTTAAAAAAACATACATCTGTGTGTGGATGCATTAATATGTAAGTATATGAGTGCGTGTGTGTGTGTGTATTTATTTATTTTACAAATAAATTTTCAAACTTTTGTGTTTTACTTACATAAATCTTACCCCTCAAGGGAGGTTCCTTGACGCTGGTGAGGGGCTCTTGATCTAGGGAATTGGATTTGTGCTCCGGTTCCCTGAATTGAGCCTGAATACCTTCTATCCCCCCCCCCACATGCGCTGTATAATCCTACGGGTTTAGCGCTCCCCCATGATTGTAATAATAATACATAAATCTTGAAATTTATTAAGAGAAAATATTCACACGAAATACTTGTCCTCTGCCTTTATTTCTCTAATATGTTATTTCATAATATGCGTCTTGCTCCTCAGGTACGAGTTAAGCTTCAAGGTCAACGATGCCAGTCAAGGTCAGTTTGGGGTGAGGGCCAACGTGACAGTCGAGGTCAAGACCCTGAATGCTCATGATGTAACTTATGCTACTCCTATTACCCTGGCTGCTGACCCCTATCAGCTGGTCGTGGAGAGAGAGGTCAGTTAAAGAGGGAGAGCGAGACAAAGGGTCAGTGAAAGAGAGAAAGGGGGATCAGTGAAAGAAGATCAGTGAGAGAGAGAAAGAGGGTAAGTGAAAGAATCAGTGAAAGAGAAAGAGAGAGAGATAGTGATAATGAGTGTGTGTGTGTATGTGTGTGTGTGTGTGTGTGTACTCACCTAATTGTGGTTGCAGGGGTCGATACTCAGCTCCTGGCCCCGCCTCTTCACTGAACGCTACTAGGTTCTCTCTCCCCCTGCTCCATGAGCTTTAACATACCTCGTCTTAAGCCTATGTATGGTTCCTGCCTCCACTACACCATTGCTAGGCTATTCCACTTCCTGACTGCTCTATGACTGAAGAAATACTTCCTAACATGTGTGCGTGTGCGTGTGCGTGTACGTATGTATGAGTGTGAGTGTGTGTGTGAGTGTGTGTGTGTGTGTGTGTGTGTGTGTGTGTGTGTGTGTGTGTGTGTGTGTGTGTGTGTGTTTGTTAGCTAGCATATACACATCAGCACCCTCGTCACACAGGGCGGAGATTCATCGACACTATCCCTGCTGGAGTCGACGGTGCGGGCGTGGGTGGGGAGGGACGAAGCGGGCGTGTGGGCGGTGTCAGTGGAGGCGCTGGAGGAGCACCCCACGCCCTCCACCATCACTGATGCCTGCCGTGTATGGCTGGTGTCGCCAGGAATGACCAACTTACAGCACCTCATTCTCTATAGGAAACTCGAGGTGAGTTTTGTTTGTAGTATTATTATTATTATATTAATTATTGTTATTATTATTATATTTCTTCTTTCTTTCAACACACCGGCCGTATCCCACCGAGGCGGGGAGACCCAAAAGAAAAAACGAGAGTTTCTCCTTTACATGTGTAATTGCAGGAAGGATACTAGCCTCTTGCTCCCGGCATTTTAGTGCCTCTTACATACGCATGGCTTACAGAGGAAGAATTCTGTTCCACTTCCCCATGGAGATAAGAGGAAATAAACAAGAATAAGAACTAGAAAGAAAATAGAAGAAACCAAAAGGGTGTTATATATATGCTTGCTACTGTATGTGTAGTTGACTAAGTGTAAGTAGAAAGAAGATGTACTGAATCTTGCATGTTTATGAGACAGAAAAAAGACACCAGAATCCTAACCATAAATGTAAAACAATTACGAGGTTTCCGTTTACATCACTTGCATGACGGTAGTACCTCCCTGGGCGTTGTGTCTACAACTACAGTACCTAGGATTATGTTATTATTATTAGATTTATGGGGGAAGCACTAAACTCGTAGGGGTCATACGAGGTATTCAGGTTGGTCACAGGAAGGAGAGATATTCAGTTCCTTGGAGCAATAGCCACTCACCGGCCTGTAGGTAGATTGAGACACTTATGCAGCATATGGGAATCTTTATTCAGGAAACGTTTCGCCACACAAAGGTTCATCAGTCCAATACAAGAGAAGGCGTAAGGAGAGAGGGTATGAGGTAATCAGTCCTCAGCTTGGAGCCGATGTGTTCAGCCCATCAATACTAGTAGGAAGTGAGGTAATCAGTCCCTCAGCCTGGAGTCGATGTGTTCAGTCCATCAATCTTGTAGAATGTGGTAATCAGTCCCTCAGCCTGGAGTCGATGTGTTCAGTCCATCAATCTACAAGATTGATGGACTGAACACATCGACTCCAGGCTGAGGGACTGATTACCTCATACTCCTCCTCTCCTTACGCCTTCCTCTTTGTATTGGACTGATGAAGCCACTGTGTGGCGAAACGTTTCCTGAATAAAGATTCCCATATGCTGCATAAGTGTCTCAATCTTCAACTTGTCGGTTTTTCAAACCATTCATCACGGCCTGTAGGTAGTAATAGTAGTAGTAGTAATAGTAGTAAAAGTAGTAGTAGTAGTAAGTAGCAGCAATAATAATAATAATAATAATAATAATAATAATAAATATTGTTATAATCAAGGTAAAGTAATATCAGTAGAATTAGTAATATTAGTGCTGGTGGTTGCAGCAGTGGTAGTAGTGGTGGTGGTGGTGATGGCAGCAGTGGTAGTAGTGACGGTGGTGGTGGTGGTGGCAGCAGTGGTAGTAGTGATGGTGGTGGTGGTGGTAGCAGCAGTGGTAGTAGTGGTGGTGGTTGATGGTGGCAGCAGTAATGGTGGTGGTGGCAGCAGCGGTAGTAGTGGTGGTGGTGGCAGCAGTGGTAGTAGTGATGGTGGTGGTGGTGGCAGCAGTGGTGGTGGTGGCAGCAGTGGTGGTGGTGGCAGCAGTGGTAGTAGTGGTGGTGGTGGTGTCAAGTGGGTTTTTGATAACGTGGGTGGGGTAAGAATACTCACGTAGGCTGGTAGTACGTATAATATAACGGAAGTATGGGAAAGCACCAACAGCCGACCTGCCTCTCTCTGCTCCCTAACTACGACTGACTCTCAAAGTGCCTACGGGTGACGGGTGTTTGAAATCCTGCTATGGTCAGCAGCAATATGAATAATCAGTCAGTGATTCACGCAGACGGTTGGTAGTGAGTCATCTACTGGTACACTGGTTACTGGTAACTGGTTACTAGGAACTGGTACTACTACTGAGAGTGGTTGCAGCAGTGGTAGTAATGGTGGTGCTGGTGGTGACAGCAGTGGTAGTAGTGATGGTGGTGGTGGCAGCAGTGGTAGTAGTGGTGGTGGTGGCAGCAGTGGTAGTAGTGGTGGTGGTGGTTGCAGAAGTGGTAGTAATGGTGGTGCTGGCGGTGGCAGCAATGGTAGTGGTGGCAGCAGTGGTAGTAGTGGTGGTGGTGGTGGCAGCAGTGGTGGTAGTAGTAGTGGTGGTGGCAGCAGTGGTAGTAGTGGTGGTGGTGACAGCAGTGGTAGTAGTGGTGGTAATGGTAATAGTCGTGGTGGTAGTAATTGCAGCAACTGATAGCTTTTGTAATGGATATTAGTAGTAGTTAAAGAATATGGTGTAGTCGTAGTTTTGGTAGCAGTATTAGTGGTTTAGAAAGACAGTAAGCAAACATATAACATATTTATTAGAAACGTATTCGGTCCTGGGACCTTGATCACTTCTAAGTGATCATTTAAGTGATCAGAGAGTGATCAAGGTCCAGGACGAAACGTTTTCTAATAAATATGTTATAGGGTTTGCTTACGTGTCTTTCTAAACCAACTTGTCGGTATTTATTACCAAGGTTTATACCAGCAGTATTAGTACTTGTTACAGTTATTGTGTTGTAATAATAATAAGATTTGTAATAGTAGTTTCAACTGTAGTAATAGTAGTAGCAATAGTAGCGGCAGCAGCAGTAGTAGTTGTAGTAGCAATCCTTAAAATAGTAATTTAACAGTGAAAATGTTAATTGTAACAGCAGTTGTAACAGTACCAGCTACTATCAGCATTAGCAGAATAAACATTCTTGATTCTGCAGTTGCTCATATATAACTGTTTTCCTTCCCTTGTGTGGCAGGAGTGCAGTGGTAAGTCCCTCAGCACAACACGTTGCCCCAGACACCAGTCAAACTTTAACGCTAGATTTGCATGCAAATTACTTCGCCAATTTTTTGTTTTATGTTTTTTTTACTCTTGTAATTGAGTCAGTCATTGGAGAGGATATAACTTTCCGTCATATAGGCAATGTTTAACTTGAATGTGTATGAATGTGAGTGATGGAATCTCTTACAAAATAAAGATATTATTTGCTCTTAGTGGTGATACGAAGGAATTCAGGGACCAGTTAGTCGGACTTGAGTCCTGGAGGTGGGAAGTACAGTACCTACGCTCTGAATGTGGGATGGAGATATGTTGCAGTTTTTGAGCTGTAGTGTAGGCGCGCCTATGGCAAGACAGTGATGGAATGAGTGATAATGAGTGTTTCTTTTTCGGGTCATCCTGCCTCTCTGTGGGAAACGGCCGAGGTGTTTAATAACAAAAATACGTTTCGGTGATTTATTTTATGTATGCTACGAATATGCGCAGGATGCAGAACAGGATATGGGACAACGTTTCTCTCTAAGTAGAGCGAAAATGGTGTCCCAGCACAAGATTTTTCTTCGCCAATGTCGGCAGAACGGCATTCGGATCTATTGTTTATATTTGTCTCAGCTGAGCGCCATCTTGGGTGTCAGTGTACGCGAGGTTGGTATAGGGACGTGCCAAGAGGCCTCTCCTGTCATTGATCTGGACGACGCTTACGAGTTCGAAGGCGAGATCGACTTCGAAGAAGTGAGTAACGCCGCACAGGACGTTGATGGATGTATGGACGGGTGTTGGGTACGAGCTGCCCTTGGCGAGGGTTTCAGTGTGGTGGATGCCAACACCTCGGCCCTGGTTGGTCCCAGGATGGAGGTCCTCACCACTTGCGGCTGTGGCAACACCGCCCCTGACCACACCACCTGTTCCCCTTACACCTGCCTCAACGGTGGCAGGTGTATTCCTACACCCACAGGCACCAAGTGAGTATTCCCACACTCACAGGCGCCAGGTAAGTTGTCAACACATGCGGCTCCTTAAACCTGCTGTAAATGCGTTAATGTTCAAACATAGCAGGACACCCTGTGACCAAGACACGAAAACATTACTAAATAAAATACAAAAGCATCTGTATTCATTCTGCTCTGGCAGCAGGTATACTTCTAGATGCACAAAAGATTCTAGCCAGGGTTACTCAAGGTCCTCCCAATCATGTGCTATTTTATTATATTATAAATTTTTCTCACTTTCCTTATTAATTCTTTCTTCATGTGTTGGGTCCATTGCACTAGTAAGATCAATTCCTGCAAAACAGCTATTATGAGTGTCAGATTCTCACAAAGATGCCAATGTCTGCAACACCTGAGTTGTAAGTCAATGCTTCACACAGGTGTATATGTCCTCACGGCACGTGGGGCTCCCGCTGTAAAGTCGTAGTCAGGCACTTCGAGGACAGCGGAGGCGGACGAGATACTGGAGGTGAAGTAGGCGAGGACGTTCCAGTGGGCGGGTGGGCGTGGGTGGCGCCCATCCCGCCCTGTGCCGAGGTCCACCTCAGTCTGGAGGTGCTCACCAGGTCCCCGGCGGCCACCCTGCTGTACTCAGGTCCTGACCATGGGGCGGCGACCTCAGACACCGAAGATGACAGCATCAGGGAGTTGCTACTGCTGGAGCTGCGTCAGGGACGCCCATCCCTCCTGCTGGACCTCGGCGGTGGTCCTGTCACCCTCACCCTCAACGCCTCCTCTTCCCTCGCAGACAATACCTGGCACAGGATCGATCTCATATGGAAAGACGAGGTAAGACGCAATAGTGTTACATCGGGGACAAGTAGTTTAGCTGTAAACAAAAGAAATATGTAATGGATTTTTTGAGGAATATTCTCGGGACTGCAGTGTAATTGTAGGAGCTCTTAGGAATCACCATAATAGCAATGGCTGGAGATAAAAACGCCATTAGAGACGTAAAAAACAGCAATAACACTAGGCAAAACGCTGTTAAAAACGTTGGGAAACGATAACAGCACGCTACGAACGCTCTTAAATACAAAGGTCACAACCAGCACCAGGTCATAGGAAACGTAGCCTAAATATCCAAACGTTGCAAATGTATCCATTTACTTAAGCGATGCAGTGTGTCCATTTATGTAAGCGATGCAGTGTGTTGGATGGCCAAGACTGTGGAGAAGTGTAGTAGGAGACTTTGTGCTGGAAAACGTTCTGCCTTCAATAAAGAGGAAGCTAAACACTCTACATAACGAGCTTTTTGGGGAACACAGCGTTTCGATCTGTTTAAAAACTTATCAGGTCATACGAAGGTACATACATAAGCCTGCTTTGTGTACCATGTCTGTGACTTGATACACAAAGAAAACGTTTTGCAAATTGTCTTTCGTCTTCGCAAACCTTCATTATAAACAACGTTTTGCTCTGAATAAGTTTTTGTCTTGATAAAGCACCACCCACAGCTTGATATATTAAGAACATTATTACCCTACCTTTTGAAGAATTAATCAGGATACGTGCACATGGAAGTGTGTGACTCTCAGTGTATGTTTGACAATATAGACTTTAATCGAAACATTAATGATTCAAATATTCTTCCCTAGTGAACAGCTTGTATGTGACCTTAATGGCCCTCATGTAGTCGATAGGCTTTAAACCCAGTGAATTAATCAACCAAAAAGCACTTGTGTATTTTCCGTAGACCTACTACAGTGTTCCTTTATTCTTATATCCCTATGTTGCTCCTCTCGCAGTTGGTGGAGATGATCGTGGACTTGTGTACGGGCGGAGGGCTAGACGAACCGCCTACTTTTCCCTCCAGCCCCGCCCATGCCACCCCTACGGACGCCCACACCTGTCGAGGGGCGGCCAGACTACCCCGGACCGCCCGCGTGCTCAACGCAAGTGGGCCGTTGCAGGTGGGTGGGCTGGCCCACCCACTCCCTGCCCACTACCTGAATGACGGAACACCCATCTTTCGCCCACCTCACTTCCAGGGCTGCCTCAGGAACCTCAGAGTGAACGGCCAGGTGAGAGAGAGAGAGAGAGAGAGAGAGAGAGAGAGAGAGAGAGAGAGAGAGAGAGGAGAGAGAGAGAGAGAGAGAGAGAGAGAGAGAGAGAGAGAGAGAATTCTAGCACAATTCCTCTGACCACCACAGAGGGATCAAATCCTCTTCCCAGCAACGAAGGAAGCCTTGGATCTGTTAATTCTCCTACACCTGACATCTCTGCTTCAGCCA